TACCTGGCAGTTTAACGACACTGTTTTCTGGCAAAATTCGGAATTTTCGGTGAAACTGAATTGCCGACGTTAGCTTCTGACTTCCAATATAAGGGAATCTGCCTTTTACTTACGTTGCTCAACCGCGTTTGTAGGTTCTTTCATTAAAAGCGCTTGCTGATAGGAGAGAAGAAACGAGTTCCAGGAAGTGGTCGCGAAGAAGGAGGCACGATAGTTTGAACGAGAGCTTTATTAGCCTGACATTTCGAATTCTCACTCGAACCTATCATCAGAAAGAAAATCAAATTCACGTCAGGCGATCATGTCTCCTTCTTCGCGACTGCAAGTGTTACGCTCCTTAAGATAACGTCCCCTACCTCTCACTCTATCGTTCTATGTCAGAAGTAGAACGCTGCAGGACAAGTGACAGACGTTTTCGGGCTTCCTTTCAGCTGATTCGACTGCTAAGCGCATAATTAAGTGCTTACCGTCCCACATAAAACTGATGCGTAGGAGAGAAAAGACGACCATTAGGAGGAGTTCGGGGATAGACTAGCGGAGGATATAACCAAATCCAACATTGTAAATGTTGCATGGGGCGGCATACAGCAACGTACCTTTTTTTACCACTGTGACGATATTATTCGCCCTTTCAGCCTCAAGCTAACACGCACTTTGAGGGAGGACGTCGCGGTTGCAGACTGTCGTCTGTACTATCCTACCGCATCCTGACACCCCTGCGGGCTTCCGGATAACCGTTTCTCTTTTCTGCCAGAATAACTCCAGTACGACATCTAACGCAATGCTAGGTAGACAGGAAATTTTTATCTATTGTTGCCTCCGTAATCTGAAATATCATGACACTGACTGGAGCAGGGTGGTCTGCCTGTGCGCTGAGGTGATACTCTGTCACGTTGGTGGTTTACACCGCAGAATACGGCCCTAAATTTAAGCAAACTCCTTCAGTGAGTACAATTTTAAAGTCCATAACTCGAAGTTAACTGCAAGACTTGTTTAGGCTAGATCGCAGTTTGTGGCCAGGCCCCGCATTACAGGTGGCTGGGGGATTGTTTACTGGGGCTATTTTGTGGGGCTCCATAATCATATCTGACCCATTTGGCTTCCTTTTTACGTTTGAGGTTAGGATTATGGTGCCGGTTAATGGCTTCCGAGTTTCGGGTTACGGTTAGGGTTTGAACGTACGATTAGGTTTCAGAATTACGGTTAGGTTTCCCAGTTACGTCTGTGTCTAAGTGCTACGCTTACGTTGACGATTTCGGTTAGGGTTGGGATTAGGGTTGCCGTTAGGGTTAACGGTTGACGTTTAAGGTTGAGGTTAGGGTTAGGGTTAAGGTTAGGATTGGGGTCATGGTCGCCGTCCGCTTCCCCATTCCTGGCTACCAACTGCAATCTAGCCCTTGTTTATTGCTCGATTTAGACGAAACCAAAAGATCGCCCTTATGGGAGCACTTATCATCCTTGTTGTGATTTATCACCGTTAGTGCAGGCATAAATTATCTCGAGCAAAGCTGTAGTGTTAATGTGATTGCACGCCCCCGAAATGGCAGCTATCAAAAAACTGATCTTTCCGCGGTAGGCCCTGTCCTACTCTGCGTCATTCTTTTAAACAGTAATCTGGTTCCTTTCTCCCCTCTTTTCGTTTTGAGTGAACTGCAGGGCAGGAATGGGGGGGGGAGAGTTCGGAAGTATGTGAAATGGCGAAGATAGGTGGTTCAAGAATGCGTCTGGGTTGTCTCCGCGCGAGCGTCTATATCTGCATTTGCAACAACTCCAAGGCTGACTCCCACAGCTAATTTGACTTCCAGTTGACTTTCAGTCGACTGTATAATCTTACCTTGCTCTCAGCTAATTTCACTTACTCCCTATCTAGTTAACCTTCAGTCGACTGTATAATCCTACCTTGCTCAAAAATAAACCAACCTGGATAGAGGACTATGGAAAATGAAGAACATGAAGTGGTACATTTGGGATGATAACTGCCCACAGGTAGTTTTGAGGGTCTCATTTGAACTAAAGCCCCACTGCTCCTATAACAGTCAACATTTTCAGACTACGGGGTTCATGCCTTTCTCAATGTTGCGAATCTCACAAAGCTGTTGTTGATTGACTCGAGTCAGAACTGCCCCTGAGCGTAGTTTGCACTACCAAGATGAGGCAATTTCTCTGGTAAGAAGTCGTCGCATTTATGGGCTCCTCGTCTAAAAATGCAGGGGAAAGGTGCGTGCGCCAGCGCAGTCGCCGAAATCTGTCGCCTCGAACTGCTTAAGAACAGCTGTCGATCAGAATCTAACATCTTCTGACCTCTTGCGGCTACACTTAGCAGACTAACGCTCTTGTGGACTGAAGGGGTCGTATATATTTGTGGTGTCGATGTCTAACCTCTACCGTTCGACTCGGGTGGTGGCATTTGTAATGAGGCTCGCTTACTTTCACAGGGCGCAAGACTTATGAAAAGGCTGTGACGCTGACCATCCGGGTCACTGACAGTCGCGGAGCATTTGCCTATCATCTTTACAGCCAACCCGTCCTATACCGCGGGGATGCGTGCAAGAGATGACAGTTTACCAAGGAGGATGGGGGAAGAGTAACGCCTAGTTAAAATGAGGTGCGACATGAAGGTTGCACGCAAAACAAATAAATTGGAATTTACACAAAGTGCTCAAATGAAGATGTTAAGAGTGTTTCAGAGAACTTTCAAAATCCTATAGTTAGTAGGAGTTCACGCCTGTGTTCAGTCCGTCATTTTTGTCCTCATACTCTTATGAAAGCATGCCCGCACGTCATTCGTTGCACAGGTCCAGGATAAACATTCACAAAGCGTTGACTGAAATCCCCGATAATGGTTTCAAGTAGAGAGGATTACCAATTTAGGATCCCAGTAACGATATGTGTGGAACACAATCTCAGATTACTACGTGAGCTGTGGCGCGCAGGCGATTTCGGGAATTATTTTTCTAGTCGCCTATGAAAACCCCACCAGGAAAAACGCCGTCCAAGGATCGCATCCAACCACACCGGTTTTTGGCTGCGGAGGGCAAAAAAAATCCTAAGCTGGTGGCAGGGTTCAGAAAAGAGGACCAGTAAGTATGCTGGGACAAATCAATCACTAACGATAAATAATAAAAAACAGTCAAAAAGTGTCCCAGGCTTATTTCGCTCCTTCCCCTCCAACGACGTTCTCATCAGGTAGGAAGCGCGACAGCTGCAGACGACGACGTCCACCGTGTGTGCGAACACCGGCGACTTTCGCAGCATCTACCGCACTCCCTCATCCCCCACCCCCATCTTACGCCGATAGCAAGACTATGCTACAAATACAGAAGCTGGGCTCGGACTCAGTGGCTGTCAAAGCTAGACAGGTCGTGTGCACGTGCCACACACGACCTCGTCCCCCTGCAAGTATTCGAACAAAAAGCCGAATAAATTTTCTCGGATTGCGGCAATACACTGAGCGATGAGCAGGCACTTATGAACATTGCGGATAACGGTGTAAGTGTACCGTTCGCATCAGGTTTTGCACGTTTTGATGGCTGGACACGAAAATGTGGACCCCTCGCACTACAGGCGGCCTCGTGGTAAACTCCAGAGGGGCAACTATTCTCATGTCCGAACTTTAATTCTGACCCTAAAGTCGACCCAAACCCTCCTAATACTAGCCCCAACCCTAACCCCTTAGACCTTTATGTTATTTCTAACCACCTAGAATTTAGGGCAGGGCTCTCCGTAACAGGGTGGGTATATATTCCCAAGTCCAATTATTTTGGTTTTCCTAGTCTGTTCTATATTTAGTTACGACTACAGCTGACGGAGGGGAGCAGGGATAGATCTGAAATTGATACCGTCTATCTTTATTCATCCTTGCTAATTTTTGCCCTTTATTCTGAGGGCCGTCTTCGTCTCATCTCTGATGATCAGTGTGTATTTTCCGCTGGTTCTTGATGTTTCTGCAGCCTGAGACATTTTGCATACAATTAACCGACTAAAGCATCATCTCCCTGAACGATACCTCTGTGTAGCCGTTTCTTTGAATGATATTACATCATGCGGATAGCTGGTCGCCAATGGAAGGCCAGCATTCTACTGTGCGATAATTACTGCGATATCACGTTTAACATCCGCTGTGTTAAGACCTCATTTAAGCACACTTTTTAACCTAAAGACACAACGGACCTTTATACGGTTTACTGAGTTTCAGTGGTTACATAATCTGGCTTGATTGTAAAATACTTCTACTCTTTCTTTCACTGTTAGGCAGCCTGTCTGTTTCCCACCGTTAGTCCGTTATTGTTGGAGTTGTAGGGTCTGTTTTGACAAGGCAGCACAAACTGTTTTCGTCCTAAACATGTACGTGCGTCCTTTATACTGTACTTAATTCCCACCGACGAACATTTAGCGGAGAGGGAAAAGTAAGCCAATTCAGAATGGAAAAGTACAGTCAAAACTCAAAAGAACATCTCCAATTGTTGCTTACTCTAAATATTGTTTGCGGCGGTGGCGTGGGGATTTGGTAAGAAAATATAAAGGGCGATATTTTCGTGTGAAAAAAATCGGCATTAGATGAAGTAGAAGTCATGGCGTTGCTTTTGATCGATATTTAAGTTTTTCTCTAAAATCCTATTCAGTTTAATGGAGCAAGGTAGCATTTTGTGTGGAAGCAACTAATTCAGTCGAACTCCAAAATATGTACGAACATAAAAATATAGGTCCGTTTCATAGAACTCAAAGGCAGTCCGACTGCACAAACAAACCAATTGCTTGAGGCAAACACCCAAAATAACATTGTCAGTCTATCGTTCAGTAATGTATTTTGTGGCGGGGAACGACCTAAAGCATTACTTTTTAAATTCTCTACAGGAATCTTAATTTGTGGACAAATACCCTGTTCATTTGTCACAAGTAGTCTCTTACGTTGACTCCAGGAGACCACTGACAGCCGGGGAAAAGTGGCCTCCAGTTAGCGTGTCAAACTCTTAATTATCTGTTACTGCGTCTTACTGCAGTCACGCAGTATTGAGCCTGAGAAGGCGGGGAAAAGGTTCTTCCAGCTTGCCAACGAGACAATTTTGCCAGAGGTTAGCACTACCTCGCTTTCCGCTCGAATTACTGGCCGACGTAAGATCCTTGCGGTTCTGAAAGAAATGCTCTTCTGCTTCCATAAGACCACCACCACCGCCGCCACCACCACCACCACCACCACCACCACCACCGCCGCCACCACCACCACCACCACCAACACCATGACATTCCCCAAGACTGTCAATCTTTGCAACAGAAGCATTGGGGTATACTTTTCATTTAAGATATATCAAAACGCTCAACCAGAACCATGAGCAAACCGAAATGCTCAACCAGAAGCGGAATCGTCCAATCACCCCCTTGACCTGGCCCGGTTTCATAGGTCTACCGTCAGTATTTAGACCGGAAGCGCCGGACAGCGACTCTCATTCCGGCAAATAAAATGTCCGGCAACTGTGGGCGTTCTCGGCGAAGGGGAGAGTGCCCAATCAACTGTCTCAAGAATTCATTTTTCCCTGACAGGCGCTGTTACCGGTCAGTGCAATCAGGCATTATGCACCAAAACGCAACTGTCACGCGGGAAAAACGGCCTTCTAGCAGGTTGGACAGCAACAAATAAAATCGAACGACAACCAGAATGGGTTAGTTCACCTACTGTATAAGTAATGCAGCTTCTTATGCCTAATAGTTTCGGACAGTAGACAGTTTACCTAACTGTCTTAAATGGCTGAGTGTTGTGCATAACTTTATTTCCGAAATCTCTGTTCATATACGTACCTAAAATCATCCGTAAACCTCATTTTGGTTTGCTCAAATTAACTGGTTCTTTGAACACGAAAAAACTCCTTGTCACGCAGTGATATTAGAAATAAGTCGTGGGATCGCACCTCCGTACCGACTTTGAGACTAGACCTTCAGCACGTCTGTTCATTTCAGAATTATTTGATTCACCATCGCACGATTTCCTCTCGACCTCCACTATCGTAAAATGTCCCCTAAAAACTTTTATTATTCATAAAACATGTAAGTCTGTGACAAGTGAATGGGGGTAGAAAATCATTTTGAATAAGATTGACTGACTCGGAGGCATGTATACCGGCCGAAGATATTTTACTCTGCATTAAACTGGCTGAAATTTAATCATTGGAATGTAATTAGCATCATTCACGTTCACATGCAAGCAAGAGGAGCATAAAAAATCCACCAGAGAATTTTAACCAAACGTAATTACCTTTATCCTCTACCACTTGGGAAACATTGACAACCTAAACGACGGCCCGAAAACTTTACTTGGGAATCCCCAATAAATCCATTCACGAGGAGTTCAGACTGCGTTTAGGCCAGAGACCGCCCCCTCCGCATCGTTCAAGGCTACTAGCCAAACAAGGAGACAGTGGCTTTTAAAAAGACGGTATAGAAATCCTTCACCAGACCGGCCGCGTATAGGGGATACTCCCCTATTTGTTTGTTTGAGTCCGGCACTACAGGTAAGACAGCAAGGAATTGTCAACCTACCTTATTACTTTTATTACATCGTCCACGAGTTCACAATCAGGAACTTTTCATGATCAGAATTCACTTGTACTTTTAAAGTCAATTTAATAATTAACACTTGGTTTCGTCGGCTACAAACGGACATAAAACGCAATGCTTGTGATTAGCCGGACTATTTGTGGGAAAGCCTGTTGCAGTGGCTCGTTTTAGAATATTTTATAGCATAGGAACTGGTTAGCATACAAAGCATGCTATTTTTTTACATGAAAAGGCCAACATTTTCTCAAATAGAACCAATCTGAACATGTCCTGTGTGGAGAATTTCAGTTTTTTCTCCAACGACAATAAGTTCGTAAAAACGGCAACTTAACGGTAGTTCCTGCTGGCCCCCTGGAATGTCTTTACCACGATTTTTTAAGTTTTACCATAAACTGCATAACGCCACGTTTCATGCCATCCAGTGGGCAGCGGTTAAAGCCTGTTGTCTTTGAAAAGGCCCTCCAAGGGGCTCAGGTCGCAGACATGCTGTGATTTCGAAGTTCGCCCTCGTAGTAGACTTCTTCTGAATGTCTAAATTTGTGGATTTATTATCGTTCCCACTTCACACAAACTGACTCACTTTTGAACAACTGTTATGCCAAAAAGGCTTCTGTGTCAACACCGTAATGAATAGCACACTGTCAGTTCGTAGACGTGAGCCAACTGTGACGGGCGTTGGCTAAAGTACGTACCTGTTGCATAGCGCAACGCTCGAAGTGAAATCGATAAAGTCAGTTTGCATAAATTTTTGACTGGATCACCTTCTTAGCTTACTTATAGGCAAGAGCAAAATATGGGCATTTGGTGTTTCCACTCACTTACGCCCAGGCGATACCTTAGCTGCAAATGTGCCTTAAAGCTGCGGTGATGCATCAACAGGTGGGGAAGACATGTGAACAGATTGAGGAATTCGAGATATTTTTCCGGACGGGTAGGTTTCTTTAGCGTTTATAGTGTCCTAATAGGCAGTATGTTATTGCCGACAAGGACAGGGGTGACGGGGATGGCAATTTCTGGCTTATTAGCCGTCGTCAGTCAGTCATAGCCAACCCCGAAGTGTGGAACACCCGAGGCTCAAATTCGCGACTTGTTAGTTAGAAGTTCACGCCTCTAACCACTGAGCCACGAGCCCGTTGCCCTGTCGGTTTCCATCAGGAATATACAATGGTAGGGGGTGCTCACCGATCGTTCTTACGAAAATCACTTGAACCTCGGACGTTCCACACTTTGGGGTCGGGTATGACTGGCTGACGATGGCTAATAAGCCAGAAATGGCCATTCCAGTCTCCCTTTTCTTTGTCGGTAATAAAATACTGCCTATATCATGCGCCGCTGTGCGACTGCTGGTTGGGCCTGAGAGGGAGAGCGCATATAGCACAACGGGACGAGTGAGTTCCGTAAGAACGATCGGTGAGCCCCTCCCTGCCAGTGTTCTAATAGTTTATTGTCGATTTAATTGTCGGAGGTTTGGGTAAAACTTCACAGCACACTGTGGGATTAGTAGCGGTATTCTGTTTCGCCTCCAACTCCCATTTGGTGACTCAGTGAGCTGAGGTATCCGGAATAGTGTGATGCGCCTTCGTTCATACTGGAAATGGGCGTACGATTCTGTTTACAATGACATAGAGAGCTGTTTTTGGCGCTTCTGAGCACTAAGCTTTTTATGATAGTTCAACCGAGGAATTCAGCATCACCGTCTGCGTTCACCTCTCCGTTTGGAGTCCAACTTTTGTCAGGAAGTCTGACATCGCCAATGCACACCAAAGCTAAATTTTGCGTCACTCTAGGTCGATCTATTTTGAACATTTTATCTTATCTTATAAGTATGTAATGACCGTATGCAGTTGAATAAGAGGTCGTGAAATTTTATGACGTCATTAAATCTTGCATGTTTCGTCGTCTTTACTTTGTTCAAACTTATTCTGGAAAAACAACGCTTCGAACGGGCTGTGCTTAAATTGAGGCAGAGAGAAAACCCTCCTTGGAAAAATGGCTCTTTTGGCGCAAAGAGGGTCGGATGTGGTTTTGTAGCCCCGCCTGAAGTAAACAAACCCCAGTCGCCTCTAATACGGGACCGATGGTAATAGGGGTTTTTACAGGTGGGGCCGGAGAACGCACAGGCGACGAGGTCAAGTAGTTGTATGTAAAAGAAAAGCTATTGCGAGTGCATGGTTGTACTTTCAATGGTTGAGCAATAGTTGCGCTAACTCCTAACCCTAACCCTTAACCCCTACCCCAACAGTATTGTGTCCATCATATGGGGCTACAAAACCAAATCTTACCGCGAAGAGTTATCGTGGAGGATTACTATGTACTATGTACACTTACCAAACAGATCTGATGCCAGTCCTAGCGGTAAGATATACTCTTAGTGAAATCATCTAGCAATTGATGCAAAACAGTCGCGAGAGCTGAAATCGCTCGAGGCCTAGTCTTTCGACTGCCGGTTTCATATTAAGAGGGCTACTAGGGAGCTCTGACGACAGAGTGTTACTGCCCACTGTTACAAACATTGTAAATTTCGTCAGAAGAGAAAGGGGCGTTCACCGAGAGAGGTTCATTTTGGGTCTGACGCTTCGAGTATGGATTCTGACTGCCTACCTTTAGAAACGGGAGGGGCGTGCGCACAGCTCTCGTTTGATGGCGCACCGTGCCTGGTGCCTGGGTTGCCATTGTCGACTGTCGGCGATTGCAACGTACGCATGAGGCACAATTCACCATCCATTAAGGGCCGTGCTTAGGACGCATTAGCTTCTGATGATAGGTATTCAAAATTCCATATCGAAACGTCAGATCCAAAATAAACTCCTCCCGGTGAATGCCTCTTCCTCTTCTTCTTCTTTTGATATACCAGCTGGGAATCACATTTTACTGCTATTTATTGCTAGGTGTGTTCGAACCGCAAAAATCTACTTCCGCTCGCCTTCCCGAGTCTATGTTTATGTTTTTCTTTGCATTAAATGTGCATTAAGTTTTTGAAATAATTGCCCTTTTATGTAAAAACTCGCCAGCCTACAGCATCTGAATCCGTGATCATCGTTTATGTAAAAAGTTAGACTTCCCTTGTTTAATTTCCGAGGAAATTAATGCGCGAACTTGGAGTAAATCTTTCGAAACGGGCCTTTTCAGGCACGCTCCAAATTTTGATATGAATATTTGAGCTGAAATCCATCAGCTACTGCGCAATAACCGCTTAATATTTACAAACCGCCAACAGGCAGCCAGTAGTATAGAACTGTGAAATAATTTACAGTACTAACAACACAGGTATTAGCTAAAAGCCCAGACACGCGTGTTTCGCCGATCTTATGCCGCTGCCTGACGCAGCTGCGAGGGGTTCGGCTCGTCAGTTAAACTTCCTAATGATTTTCAACAGACAGTCAGCTTACCTAACCTTTCAGAAACGTCGAATCAGTCACGTGTTGACTGCGCGAAAGTTTGTGTGTGGCAATTAGTATGCTTGCAGTGACGCATTACTCTCCCCTAGAGGCTTTTTAAACTTTTTGAAACCTTGACCACATGAGCAGCAAGAGTTTCCCCCTTCATTTTTGTCAAGAGTATGAGCGTGAACGTATTTTTTGTACAAATCGGAGATAAAATCTGTCTCTCCAGGAGTCCTCTGGAGCCATTTTCGAGTTGCGTCAAAGTTTCTCCTTAATTGACATCATGCATGCATGCAGTTTTAAGCTTTCTTCCAGTGCATGCTTTTGCATGTTGCTGCCTGTTAATTTTTAATCTAGGAACAATTGTCTATCTTAACAGTTAATACAAATTTTCATCTGGGACACTTTATGAAATACCTACTTATTTATGAAGCACAGTTGGAAACTCTCAGGGCAGACAAGTCCCCGTGTGTGCATACTCGACCAAACCAAACGCGTTCCTTCATTTAGCGGGCTGCGAGTAACTGTTTGGTGGCAATCTGTGGCCCCTTTCGGATGACAAAGTCCAGATAACGCCCAGTAACTGACCAAAGGTCGCACTCCAGCGCAGTTTTTCGCAGGGTTACAATGTTCAGCGTTTTTTTCTACACACGGTCCAGATTTTAATAAAGTGTTCGCAAAATTGGACAAACATTCGAGAATATTCATTCGCCCTTAATGGTTGAGGTTTTCTTAAAAATGATAATCAGAGCAAACCAACCTTTTCGAGGCGGTAGATGAATTTTTAACATAAACATTTATTAAATTACTCATGTAGACTTTATGGATTTTTGCTTCGCGGTTTCTAAACGTATTTGGTATGCAGAAGTTCCGTTTTTCTGTGTACCATTAAAGTTGTTTGCTTGTACAGACCTCATTGTTTAGGAATATTCCACACCAAAACAGCCACTCGTCAAAATATGTTGAACTGTACGGTCATGTGATAGAATGGGTCGAAACGTCGGTTCGAATGTGGGAAATTCATGGAAAATAAAGTTGTGCCAAATACCCTGCCGAAAAATTGTTTGTAATTGAGGGTGAAAAGGCGTCACACAGCCGAGATCAGTTTTATAACTCGTTAAATCGGCAGTGAAACAAAAGATACGTGATCGATTTATGCAAGAAAAGTTTTCACAGTCCACTCAAAAAATCCCAACCGAAAGTCTAAAATACGTTTTCGACTCGACAAGATTACTTGAGTAATTTTGTAATATCAATTACCGAGTATCTGAATCCCAAGATATTTTAGTCAACTCAGGATGTTGGTTTTAAAACAGGCTTCTTTCCAGCCGCCTGCAAAGCTGCCCCTTCAAAGGGTGACTACTTAAGTAGTACGATTTTCTTCACACGGATTTCGATGCCCTTGTAAATCAAAATATATTTTGTAGAAAAAATGCACAAAATATTCATTGTTTTACTCATTTCTTAGCAAATTACGTCTTTATTAAATTTTATGCTTAAAGAAGAAGTATCTTCGGTCTTAAAGGAGTTTATAGTAATGGGACTTTTTAAAACCGTGAAATGTCCATCCATAGAACGCTGTATCCCTACATTTATTGATGTTACTTGTAAAATATACAATATGGTTCAAACCCATTGCAAAATTTTATGAGACATATTTAATTTCTTCTTAATAGCGTATAGAAATACAAGCGGTAATGAGTAAAAGCGTGCACCAGTCCATGCAAGGATCCATCATAAAACTGAATCAATTAAGAGATGCATGAAAAAGATCATGTGCTTGAGCAAATATACTTCCTTGGTTTCGAAGATTCCGAGTTAATACGGAAGATTGTTTATGTGTTCTACTCATTGAAAAGATAAGTTATGAGCTCTCCTCTACCAACTAACAGTATTTGGAGACGTACCTTACGCTCAGTCAGGACGCATTGAGAACACACAGATGCTTATGCCAGAATTACTTTCTTAATTTTTCATTGGGAATTTCCTCCAACTTGTGGAGAGCTATGTGGACTAGGCCTGCCCGGTCATTTCAGAGGAAAATATTTTCGAACCAATTTCAACATAATGTGAAAATCTGCGGCTTAACTGTACCATCAGAAAAAAGGATGAGAGTCACTGTGATACCAGGTGTTATTTTCTGGAAATCCTACAGTTACCTTGAAAGTAAGATGAATATGAAAAATCGAACATTACTAGAAGCAATTGTGCGCGCACTTACATGACAAACGGCCTCAAAATAATTCCGTACTTAATAATGTCCCAAAGTGAATAAACTCACGTGCCTAGAAAGAAAAACTTCGAGAAACATCTACCTCAGCGACGAAACTGAAAATTGGGTTGCGAAAGTCAGCCAGACATCTGACTGGCTACAGCCCTCCGTCAAAAACCGCCACGATTTCCTCGTCCAAATAAAGCTGTGGATGTACGGTGCTGTTCTCTCGAAAAAGCCCCTATACAGGACGGTGAGGTGGGCTGTCTGTGACGGCACAACCAGGAAACTTAACCACTTCCATCTTAGGCGCCTCTGAAGGATGCCGAAAGTAAAAAGGTAGTTAAAGAACATCCACAGTGAGATTCTGGAAAGGACCGAAGTCCTCAATACCCACACCATGTCGAGGCAGATAAAACTGCGATGGAACGACACGCAGTTTTGACGAACAACAAACGTCTGTCGAAGCAATTATTCCACAGCTAGTGAGCTATGGTGCTCGAACAAAAGCGTTGCTACACGAACACCTTGGAGACCTCCCTCAAATCCTGTCGATCAACCCTAAGATCCGGGAAATCGGCAGGCATGGCGCACCATCATGAAGACTGGAGCAACCATCTTGGAAGCCAACCGAATAGCCGCTGCCAAGACAAAGAGAGAGACCCGCAGCACTCAAAACTATAGACTAATGACGTTAGCACGCAACACCTGCTATCGTGTCCACACTGTCGACCATCGACCTTTCTGTCAACAATGTTGACTCCATACCAACTTGTCTCTACTACGACCGCACCTTCGAATCACACATCGGCCTGGTCGACTACTTGCGAATTCATCGCACTGGGACCGGCGAACCGGTGCCCCTCTGCCTCGACATACACCCGCTACACACCCCTAATCTACTTACAATGTCTCAGGATGTTTAGGAACCGCATGAATATTTCTTGTCATATGTGCAGACACGACAGCGAGTTCCTCCATGCCATCACGACTAACCGCCCTCCGGCGTAATACAACTCCTCCACCACCATAAACGGCCTCGCCACTATCATCTACCGTGGACACAGTTCATCCGGTCTTGGCTTACGAAGCGGTGTGGTAGGTCACCTGCGAATCCATCGTATTGCGACCGATGACCGGATCCCCGACATACAGTTCGTGACCAACTCCATGAAACCTGATGACAGAAACTGAAATGAGGTGGCACATTCCGCTCGCTCGTCCAGCCGCTTCAAGGAAATGTCCTTTTTGTGCAAAATATGTGTCCATGTAACTTTATCAAACAAAATACCTATGAATTTGCGCGAAAATGGATGGTACGATATATTCGCGCGGTTTCGTATGTCAATACCCTCCCTAGACTCCGGTTGCGCATCCGAGTATGCTTCTCTTTAAGAGGAGAGTAATTTATTCCCAAGAGCTTTACTAAAATTAACTTGCAACATTTCGAAAATGATTTTTTGCTCGATGTTACCGTGGAAATCAGTTTATGAACACACAAGTTATCTTTAGAGAACCAGAAGTTTTATCGATTTTTAAAAATCCTATTAGCAAGTATGTGAGACTTGGTGCCTTAAAGTGCAGTGAGAATGCACAAAGGCAATCCTCCGGTTAGATGGATTGAAACTGTCTTGCCATTTGGAAAATTCCATGTTTTTACACCGAATTGACTATCACCGAATGGTCATTTTCAACTTTAAACATATAAAACTCATCTTTTCATGCGGTCTGCTTTGTGCATGCACGTAATCTAGAAGCGAAACGAGCAAAATATCAACAGTTTCAGCAAAATATCTGTATTTTTATGGCCATTCTACCGGGCAGCCTAAAAGTAGGCAAAGATAGTAAAAATAGACGCAATATAAAGAGAAAGGCGTATTCTTGCTTTCGGTAGAAAGGCACAAGTCTTTTTATAACAAAGTGGAAGAAATGGCTAAAAGAGTCGAACGTTTTCTCTGTTTCACAGCGAAAAATGCAAAGTACACAGACGTCCGTTAATGGGGTGCAGTTTTAAAGCTCCCCTTAAGGAAGTAACTTCTTGGGTAATGTTTTCTAATTGGTCGAAAGCATATTCGTTGTTTAGTTGTTGTGGACGTTCGTTTTATTCTACGATGAGATATCCTGTTTGAGGAGTCTTCATATGCGACCCAATATAATATAATATATAATATATATATTATATATATATATATATATATATATATATATAATATAATATAATATATAATCTCCTACGATGGAGGAGGAAGAGAACAACCAGCTGGCCTTCCTGGATGTCCTCGTATGCCGCAAGGATTGTGGTGGACTGAAGACCAAAGTGTTCAGGAAAGCGACAAATACGATGCAAGTACTGAACTTCAACAGTAACCACCCAATCAGCCACAAACGCAGTTGTGTAAGGACGCTCTTTCGGCGTGTCGAAACGCACTGCAGTGAGCCGGAAGACAAAAATGCTGAACTACAATACCTCCGACGGGTATTCAAAGCCAATGGCTACCCGAGCAACTTTGTCAGCCGGTGCATACGCAAAATGGACGGAAGGCCTAACCGCAGGGACACCAAAATTTGGCGAGCGCTTCCATATGTCAAGAACGTTTCGGAAGCTGTTGGCCGCCTTCTCGCACCGCAGGGGGTTGGAGTTGCACACAGGCCAGAGGCAACCATCAGGCGTCAACTGATGAAACCAAAAGACCCACTGCCACGGCAAGAAACGTCTGGAGTCGTTTATCGGATCTGGTGCAGTTGCGGACAAAGCAACTACGTCGGAGAAACCGGAAGACAGCTCCGAACGCGAATGGCCGAACACGCTGCAGCAGTGCGGAGAAATGACGCCAGCTCTCAAGTTGCGGCGCATTCGACGGGTTCCGGCCACACATTCAAATTTGACGAGGCCGAAATTCTCGCAAGAGGTGACAACCGCGTGAGCCGGGAGCTGCTTGAGTCATGGTTCACTGGCCCCCAGTCTATTAACAAGTGCAATGATCTTCCCATTCAATACAGCGTGCTGAGACTTCGTCTAGGCGGAGAAATTGGCCACGCGGGGAACGCCCTGATGAACACTCTTCCCAACACCCGGGTCAGCGCGTCAGATGGTCGGGCAATCATCACACCAACATCCAACGCACGTGATGAAATTGCAGCAATTAACGACGCGAATATCGACCATCACGCCACGTGCAACGATCCCTGATGAAGGGGAGGGAGCCGTGAACATTCATAGGTATGCGGTGGCATGGCTACGGCATCCTATAAATACTGCAGCCACATGCGCATGAACCACCCTTATCTGCTTATGTCTCTGATGATGGATTCGAGCAGGAATCCGAAACGTCAGGCTAATAAAGCTCTTGTTCCGGCGATCGTGTCTTCTTCTTCAAGACATCATATATCAATAAAACCCAAACAGCCATCACACAGTCAGTCATGAATGTTTCCGGTCCCACTTGCAGACAGTAGTGCCACTCATCAGTTTTGTATCAACCCCTAAGTGAAGTCCGTCAGCATTGCGAACTATCGTATATGCCTGTTTGTGCGAATGTAGCACGTGATAGGCGGAGGCTTTGCATCCAGTCACTCACTGCGTCCATCAGTTGTTGGACAGCCTCCAACAGGCTGAAAGAGGAAAGACAGGGAATGACCGATAATGAGGCGCCCTTCTTCAAGGGCATTCAGAAAATTCTTAATTATAATCAATCTGACGACCTTGGAACTATCAAAACGCGCTAAAAGCAGTGCCTTGGAAGGTTGCAAGCTGGTGGGCAAACTCATTCCACCCCAAAAAACGAGGAATAGACTGGAATAGCCTCAACTTTGTGACATTCGAGGTCGTGAGTGGCGCGCGTCAGACGGGGGTTTCAGGCCGCTTCAACCACTACACTTAACTCCGCGCAAAATCGGCCTCAGTGGAACTTGTGGTTAATGTGTGGCATGGGGAGAAAGATTGAGGCCGATTTGTCCCGGATCTAGCGCTTGGTTTCTTCACTGTAAGCAGTAAGAACGCTTTTAAACTAACGGGACATACTGATGATCGTATGCGGGAAAGTTGACATCTAATGGGAAAATTCAGTGTTCTTTGGGAATGAGGACCAGACTGCAGTGGCTCCTCCCTTGCATGGCGCTTAGGACACTCTCGGTTAGGTGAGCTCCGAGACAGCCACTATGACGGCATTTTCATGCGGATTTTGGAACTAGGTCGTGGGTGGCACAGGCATACGAGTTGCTCAGTTTTGTCAGCCACTAAGGCCACATTCAGCTCCGGTCTGTTAGACTTCCTACTGGCATTCCAACAGGGTGGATGTTGGAGAGAGAGAGAGAGAGAGAGAGAGAGAGAGAGAGAGGTGAATGCAGCCAAGGTCCGCTTTGTTAAAAACAAATTCACGCTGTGAAGGACGAACCATCATATTCGAGCTCGTTCACACACGCAGTGAGACAGTGGGTTAGAAATCGGGCGGAAGGGGAGTGGCTGTGTGATGAGCCCGTCAAATCCCCCTTCTATCGCGCTGACGGGTAGGGATTATAAAAGCATGCAGTACTGCCTATGAATGACAGTGGGACCAGGGCTCAGCATTAGGGGGGGGGGACGTCTACGCCGTGAAGCTGACGGTAGACCAGATATTGCGCATACCTGTAAGGTTGCCATGAAGGTTACTTCAATCCTGAAATTAAATAATCGGTCATTTTAATTAAACGACCGACCAAAGTTAAAGATTAGTTCCCAAACCCGCGGGAGTGGACGGTTGATTGGCAAGGGGAAATGGCGTGTCCAGACCGATATGGTGTGGATGCAGTTATTTTCCATAGGAGTTCTGTACCTGATTTGCGCATGATTTCGTGCTTGCTTCGGAAGGCAGAACTCTGGGTGTTGCAGCAAACTTGTTAGTCGATTAAACACAAAATGCCTACGGGTACACTGCTGAAGGCAATAAAAAGTATGAAAAAAGACTGATGTAACGGCTTACAGAAACCCAAAAATGTGTCATCTGTGGGCTCTGGTGGATAGCAGGTCTCCTAACAACCGTCAGGACAACGGTCTATATTGGATTTAACGTCTTGCTGGTAGGGATTCTCGCACCACTTTGGGTTGGAGTTGCACAGAGACCGGAGGCAACCATCAGGAGGCAAATAATGAAACCGAAAGACCCGCTGTCACGGCAAGAAACATCCGGAGTCGTTTATCGGATCTGGTGCAGTTGCGGACAAAGCAACTACGGTGAGTGACCGATCTCATGAAATGTTGTCTGAAATTCTGAAATGCGTTTTCGATTAGGAAGGATTACTTGGTCGCGGTTGTAATACTGATTATCTTACGGACTAATCCTATAATACTTTGGACTTGTCAGCATGCCAGCTTTTGAATACACCGCTTTTTAATCTCCCGTAGAAACTGTACTTGGTGAAAAATGACTACTTAAGTAGCACGCATTTTTCTCATGGATTTTCGATGGTCTTGCCCTTTCAAATATATTTTACAGAAACGGCAAACAAATTATGCTTTCTTTCAGTCGGTTGATAGAGAATCACGTCTTCTTTATATTTTATACTCAAGGAAGGAGTATAATAAGGTTTTAAAAAAGTTTTCTAATTGCCGAATAATTTGGAGTCTGATCATTCATTGCATTAGCGCTTAGTGGTTTCAGTTCCCAAGGTGCATGCGTTCGATGTAAAAAAAATCACATATTTTTCTATGCCATTAAAAAGATATCATACGGAGCCCATAAAATTTTACGATGAATGCGGACTATGTTGTACATTTCATGAGGAGCTGTAGTAAACGGCCAGGTACGATGCTATGTAAATAGACATTGCGCGGTCTCAAAAAATCTATTTATTAGAAACTCTTTATTATACTCCTTCCTTAAGTATAAAATATGAAGAAGACGTGATTCTCTATTAATTGACTGAAAGAAAGCATACTTTTGTTTATGGTTCCTATAAAATATATTTGAATTCGCAAGACCATCGAAAATCCATGAGAAAAATGCGTGCTACTTAAGTAGTCATTTTTCACCAAGTACAGTTTCTACGGGAGATTAAAAAGCGGTGTATTCAAAAGCTGACATGCTGACGAATCCGAAATATTATAGGATTAGGCCGTAAGATAATCAGTATTACAACCACGACCAAGTACTCCTTCCTAGTCGAAAACGCATTTCAGAATTTCAGCCAACATTTCATGAGATCGGTCACTCACTGTACGTCAGAGAAACTGGAAGACAGTTCCAAACGAGAATGGCCGAACACGCTGCAGTGGTGCGGAGAAATGACGCCAGCTCTTAAGTTGCGGCTCATTCGTCGAGATCCTCACGCCAACGTCCAACGCACGTGATGAAATTGCAGCAATTAACGATGCGAATGTCAGCCATCAAACAATTAGCACATCAAGTGCGACGATCCCGGATGTAGGGCGGAGCCGTGAATGTTCCTGGGTATACGGTAGCATGGCTACTGCATCCTATAAATGCTACAGCCTCTTGTGCAGGAACCACCCGTATCTGCTTTTGTCTCTGATGATGGCTTCGAGCAGGAATCCGAAACGTCAGGCTAATAAAGCTTTTGTCCCAGCGATCGTGTCTGCTTCTTCAAGACTACTTTCTGGGACTCGTCTCTTCGCTTCTATTGGCAAGGGATTCTTATCGTTTCCTTTTACGTCTGTATGCCGAGGTTGTCCATAAATACTCCGGCAGCTCGTATTACCCCTCCAGCCGTGTGCACGTCTCGTGTTTTCCCAGCCATTGCGCCCGAGCCCGCCTTCGCTCGTCTGGACATTGTCTTGTCATCAGAGCCTGGTGGGGGATGCGGTAGGAGATCATGAAGAGGGCGTGCCTTGTTCAGAGTTTGCTACTTACCAGCGAATTTGCCTTGCATGACTTATACGAGCTGGATATGAGTTATCATCTGGTCCATGGGCTGGTAGGCAAGACGTAAAATTAGAACTTATCAAAGATGGAAAATAGTGTTAGAAGATGAAATGTCTGTATGGACAGTCCTTCCTTTTCAGTTCGCCAACTAACGATCGTAATTTGGCACTCGGTTTCCGTTAAGCAGAAGCAATGCCACGTAGGGAGTGAAGTTCAAGAGAAGGAGGATATGGAGCTCCTTCCTCCTCTCCGTCGGAGCTATGGTCGAAAGTACCTGCAGGTTCTAGCTTAAAGTGAGCAATAAACAGTCCGTAAGTGTTACGAAGAGGGACCGGACAAATGGAATGGCCATTTCTTCCGTCTATAGCTGGCTATACCCGTACCACAGGCTGGATTCGAGCTCTGCGTCTTTTCGGACTGGTGTTCGGACTTGCTTAACAGACGGCAGCTATTACACCCGAGATGGGCGTTCAACTCTACCCTGTCTCCGTGGGGAATCACGCAGTGATTACATCTCCCCTGTTATATTTAGCCTGTCGTTTAAGGAAATGTTTAATGCCCTACTTAGTTTAACGCTCAACAATAGTAAAGCGTTGAACTACTTGACGCCCAATGACCAAAGGACCCCGGTTAGGATCCCAGGTCCCCCTAATCTACGGTCGGGTATGGCTGGCTGACGACGGCTGATAAGTCGTAAATGGCCATTGCGGTCTCCATTGCCTTTGTCAGCACCTCTTATCTAAAAACCTTTCCCGTTTTCAACTAAGCCATGTGCATATCCGTCACAGTGCCAGTCTTCATTTGCTCTTCTTGGCTAGTTTTCTTGCCCACTGCCTCCGTTTCAACGTTCTTTTAGTTCCTACAAGATCTGATCTTCCGTCCTTCTTCTCAATTACGAAATCTTACATAAATTTTTTCACCAGTTGATTTTTAACAGACCTGACACATGAGGGACCACCTTTAAAACACAAGTTCTTACTTTGGGATGACAGAGTATAGAAGTACAACCGCGTGACAGGGCAAACGTGGAGGGGGTGGGGGGGAGGGTGGAGCTAAAGAAGCTCCGCGCGCAAGCGGTGCGTTTTAGCAGAACCTGTCGATAGGCCTCTGCATCCGCTAGTAAGTCATTACTTTCAGTCTTAAAAATGCCACATATGAGCGCAGAAAAACGTCTCTATGTATGAGCGTCACACTGGGTGGGGGGGGGGGAGGGATGTAAAACCTCAACCCAGACCGACCTGGTGATGCCCCTGACGAGTCAAGGACATTAACTTGTGCATAGTCGCGAGACCACTATAACCTGCTTCACTGTAGCGGGTTAGAAGGAGGCACA